GCACCTTACCCTGTATGTCACATGGTTATTACATGTCTCCCATTTGGCTACCCCACAGCTCAGGCTCACATGTCCTACCTTTCTTTCTCTTTTCTTCCTTTCTCAAGGTCCAGGCACTCCTGTACTCTTGGCTCCACTTGGTCCCAGACACCTTCTATGCATCGCCTTGCAACTCCCTCTCCTTCTATCTCATGGCCCCTCCTGGTCTGCCTCTGCTCAGGGTCTTGTCCCTCATTTGGTTTCCTTCTGACCCTCTCCCCTTCTCCCCCCTGGACTCTTATCGTGCCTGTCTATCACCTCCGTCCAGTATCCTCTCCATTCCTCCACATCCCTAGCTATCGTCTGACTCTCTCCTCTTTCCCCCCAGGTGGTACCATGGGCATCTATCTGGCTCAGCAGCTGAGTCTCTGCTCCAGGCCAAGGCCATCCCTTGGACCTTCCTGGTGCGAGAGAGCCTCAGCAAACCTGGTGACTTCGTTCTGTCGGTCCTGACTGACCAACCCAAACCTGGGGCTGAGGCCCTTCTACCTGGGGCTGCCAGTACCCCTGGCACCCGGCTCAAAGTCACCCATATCAAGATCATGTGTGAGGTGAGAAGGATGGCAGGGGCTGGGGGGACAGGACACAAATGGGAGGTGAAAGAAAGATATCTTTCTCTGCTGATCACTGCTTGGTTCTCTCTCACCACCAGGAAGATATAGGTCCTTCTGGAAAGTGAAAGATATCTTACAATGTCTGTGTAATACATGCATAGGGCGGTGGTGACTAACATTGTTATCCATGGATGGGGCAAATCTAATGGGGGTTGTAGTGGTGTGGTTGCACTCCCCCCTACCTTTGATTCCTTTTCTACCCAAACTTTAAAACCAATTGCCTGGGAGGAATTGTGGCATTTCTATTCAGACATCACTGAGAGAGTCAATTGACTTCATGGCTCATTAAAATCTACCAGATTCCTGATAATTTCTCTCTACAGGTGTTAGTGACCCTCTCTCCTTTTTAATGGTCTGATGTTCCACTATTCAAACTATCCTTCCTAATGCAATTTAGTTGTCTTGCTGCCATTCCTCATATAGTCTCTCCTCTATTTTACAGCTCTGAAGCCTGTTTTTTAACTTTAGCTAAAAACCATAATTCAGGTATCGTAGTATTAACTCAGGTATAGAAATGACTCAGTGAAGTACTGGAGACATTGTCAAGCTGCTCAGGAAGGTTTTGTTTTAATCTGAATAAGAGATATATGTTTCATTTTAATGACTACAGGACTAATGAAACAATATCTTTTGACTGTATTGACTATTTTCTGCCTAGTTGGTTGTGGTTTTTTTAAACTTTATATATAAATTAAGCAAATTAATGCACATTTCAGTGAAGTTATATTTGGTTTTGCTTGATCTTAAACTACATAATCTAGCCCTAGGACCCTAGCATATTAACTGGAGATAAATATGTGTGTGTTATATCTGATGATGTACCACACCACCTGCACCCCCCGTTCTCAAAATCGTAGGTCCACCCATGCCCAAGGTTCCTTGCCTGGTCCAAGCAGCGGTTGCAGGATATCGCTGATTATGCTGCACCCAAGATGAGGAAGGTGTCCTGCTAGACATTAAAGTAGTTGTAGGACAGGTACAGGGCTGTGAGGGACTTCAGGGGGTGGAGGAAACAGAGGTGTACAAAGTCTTGTAGGCCAGTATAAGGTTGCTTGAAAGTAAGAATGAATCTGGAGCTTTATCAGAGAGACTATGCATCCAAACAGCACAATGATGTGAAGGAAACAGTGTGATTGCAGGGGGATGCAGTGGAGACAGAGAACACTTGTAATTTCTGGCCACTTTGGCTCTGCAGAGATGTTCAGACTTTTTAAGAAGTTTCCAAGATGAGCTGCAGAGCTCACCGACACCATGGAAGTTCAGAGCTGTGATGAGAGGCTGAGGAGTCTTGTAGAAGAGGACAACCTTGGCAAGGTCCCTCAGACTAGCCCCGTGAAAGGATCCACTTGGCTATTGCTAGGTCTTGTGTTCCATCCAGTGGAACGCTGCCGAGCATGGAGAGGAGTTATGGGGAAAAACAGGCTGTGGGAGGATGACTTCTCTGGGCTTCCACCTACTGGGCAGGGCACCGGGGGGGTCAGTCCAACATGTTGCACATTTGATGCATTCAGAACCAGCTCTCATCTGACCATCATGCCAGGTGGGTGGGACCTACACCACAGGACATGCTGCACTTCAGGTTCATAGGGTGGGGCCCACCCAGGCTTTTATACTCCATTATAACCATTTTCCCTGACCTTGTATAAAAACCTGTGTAGGAACAGTAAGTAGGAGCATTTGAGACATAACTCTTCCTTGCTCACTCTAGAACGGGAGATACACAGTTGGAGGGGCTGATATGTTTGACAGTTTGGCAGATCTAGTGGAACATTTCAAGAAGATAGGAATTGAAGAGGTATCTGGAACCTTTGTGTACCTGAAGCAGGTAAATGGAGGTCTTGTTTATTTTTGTATTTTGGAGGGCTTTGCTGTCTGTCCCACTCTGAGCATCTCCCCCCTCCCCTCACCACACATGCTGCATAAAAAGGGGACTTTGTCATTTAGCTGGATCCATCCCTGTTATGTCTTTACACTTACTCTTCTCCTTTGCCTTCCTCAGCCCTATTATGCTACAAGAGTGAATGCTGCTGACATTGAGAACAGGGTGCAGGAGCTGAACAAGCGGAGCCTTCCTGAAGAGACAGCCAAGGCTGGATTTTGGGAGGAATTTGATGTAAGTTACAGTGGTGCAGGTGAGGCCTCCATGTCCTTCTGGGAGACCCTGCTCCCTGTCTCATTCTCTCTCTCTGCCCCTTCATGGATTCAACCCCCTTGTATCTAGGCATTATACCCTATGCATAGGTATTCTTATGCAAGAGGTCTCCATCTGTGGTCCCTGTTGCTGTAGAATCAGTGCTATGCAGTCGCTAGTGCTGGTCTCCTCACGGCACCTCTGTGATGTAGAAAAGCACTCTCAACTTACTCATGGGGAATGGAGGCCTGGGAAGACTGAGTGACTTCCCTGAGCTCAAGCAGGGAGTCTGTGGGGAAGCAAAGAACTGCACATGGATCCCTCATGTCCCCAGCTGGTGCCTTCAACTCTAGACTGCCGTTCCTCCCTCCAGGTTTCCCCCCCCCACTCTATGCCAGCTTGTGACTACTCCATAATTGTTCTCTTCCTCTGTCAGAGCTTGCAAAAGCAGGAGGCCAAGAATCTCTATGACAGGCATGAAGGCCAGAGGCCTGAAAACAAGGGCAAGAATCGGTACAAGAACATCCTGCCCTGTGAGTTTCACCTTCCTCTGCTCTTCTGTTGGGAAAAGGAGGCTGCATTTCTCTGCTTTGATGAAGAGGGCACCGCCAGACAGAGGGGCAGCAACAAATCTTAAGACCCTATCTGAGAGTCCCCCAGGGAAACTTCAGCCTTGTTGGGGATTATTTGCCCTCCAGAAGGGCACTTGTCTGAGTACTTGAGGCCATTGGGGCTCAGTGTGATGTATCATCTACCATATAGGGAGTGGAGGTGAACATCAGGTTAGACTGGCTTACTGGCCTGGTCCAATGCAGAAGGGAAGAGGTGTGGGTACTGGCTGGTATTGTCTGAGTTGCTGGTAAGACGCTGGAACTATGGTACCCACAGAACTGATTCAGGATGGTGGAAATTAGGCTACATGGGACTGCTGGTTTCAGCTTTGGGGTGAAGGGAATAAGTATAACCAGTAGGTTCAGTGCCCCAGGTAGATATGCTGCCAAGTGCCAGTCAGCATGAGGGTGGAGTTAGGAGGGTCCTGTGGGATGCTGCTGGTGCCAGACCCTAGTTACATGGCTGGTGGGGGAGAAGGCAGAGATCCCATGCTGCTCTATTAATCCTTCATCTCTCCCCTAGTTGATCACACCCGGGTAGTCCTCCAGGGCAGGGATCCAAACATCCCTGGATCAGATTATATCAATGCCAACTACGTCCAGGTGAGACTCCAAACATGTTGCTGCTGTGCGCTGGGGGAGCACCCAGATCTTGTAGCCTACTGACCTACCTCTGTCCATTGCTCACCTGCAGAACACCTTGATCAGCCCAGACGAGCGCACCAAGAGCTACATTGCCAGCCAGGGATGCCTGGATGCCACGGTCAATGACTTCTGGCAGATGATGTGGCAGGAAAACACGCGCATCATTGTGATGACCACCCGGGAGGTGGAGAAAGGGAGGGTGAGTGGCATGGAGGAACTGTGCTCACTGCCATTTCCCCCCCATCTCCCCGACTTGTTTCCTGCCAGCCCCTCCCTGCTTTGCCCTTTTTTATTTTCTGCCTTGAGATTTTTCCCTGATTTTTGTCTAGCTTCAGCTTTCACCCTCTCTTTTTGTTTCTACACAGAACAAGTGCGTCCCCTACTGGCCAGAGGAGGGCAGCACCAAGAAGTATGGTCCCTACAGCGTGACTAACAGCAAGGAACACGACACCCAGGAGTACAAGCTCCGCCAGCTCTCCCTGGCACCCATCGATGATGTGAGTGTCCAGCCCCAGAGAAGGAATTGCCTCTGGGCCTTGAAATATAACTGTGCCTTTAGAGTGAGGAATTTTGAGCGCTAGTTACAAGATAGGAAGCAAAGGGAAGGGCTAAATGGTTACTTTTCAGGATGGTGGGAGATCCAAAATCCAGAGGGACTCTCCTTTAAGATCTCTGCTGGACCTGGTTTTGTCCAACATTTTCATCAGTGACTTGGAAATGGGGCTACAGGGTGAAATCTCCTAAGTTTGCAGATGTTACAAAATTGTTCTGGTTGTTGCATCCCAAACCAATGGAGAAGAGCTGCAAAAAAATCTCACCAAGCTAAATGAGTGGACAAAAAACTGGCAGATGTACTTCAGTGTTGACAAGTGCAAGGTAATGCACCGGGGGGGTGGGGGGGAAAGAACCTCAATTACAGATGCACAATGCTGGGTTCTGAACTAGCTGTTATGACTCAGGAATGAGACCTTGGAGTCGTTGTAGCTTGTTCTTTTAAAATGTCAGCTCAATGTGCAGCAGCGACCAAAAAAGCCAATAAACTATTGGGTATCATTATGGGATTTGGAAACAAAATGGAGATCATCATCATGCCACTGTACAAATCTCTATGGTGTGCCCACGTCTCAAATACAGTGTACAGTTCTACTCTTCACATCTCCAGAAATATGTAGCAGGATTAGAGGTGGTACAGAGAAGGACTACCAAAATGATTGGGGCTACAGAGCAGCTGCCAGGAGAGACTGAAAAGGCTAAGTTTGGAAAGGCAAAGAATGAAGGGAGATTTTATAGAGGTCTTTAAAATCATTAAGTGAACGGGAAACTGTTATTTACCAAGTCCCAGAATACTGGAACTGTGGGGCACCCACTGAAATTAGTAGGAGATGGGTTTAAAACTAACAAGAGAAAGTACATTTTTCTACAACATGTAGTTAACGTGTACCTGCCACAGGAGGTTTTAGAAGCAGATAGTATAGCCAGGTTCAAAAGCAGACTGAGCAGATTCATGGCTGATAGATTTGTTCATAGCTATGAAACAAAAGAGTTGGAGATGTTTCCTTTGCCATCTCTAAACCAATGATGGTGGATATGAACAAGGGTAATGAACAGGGGATGGATCACTCTAGATATAGTAACGTTCAGCATTTGGTGGTCTCCTTCTGATGTATCTGGTTCTGCCACTGGGTTAGATTGGACCATTGGGTGGATTCAGCATGGCACATTGTATGTTCTTAATGAGTGACTTCAGGAGGAATTAGTTAGAAGTAAATGGGACCTGAATCTAGTCTAGACTCTGAGTGTGGGGCTAAAATAGAGTCTCCTGGGCCCCTCTTCCAGTGCAGTGATAAGACTGCTGTGGCTAGGACTTGTTCCCTCTCTCTGCCAGCACTGTCTGTGAAATACATTGACATGCTCTCAGTCTGGATCCTAGAGAGAGAAACCCTCAGTATCCTACCTTGCTGCTTTGGCAGCCTTGGCAGAGAGGCCAAGGAGTGGCTGAACCTCAGGAGCTCCATGCATTGCTGCTGTCACTTCAGGTCTGTGCTGGGAAGAGAGAGGCCCTCAAGGGCCAGTGGCTTTCCACAGCATTATATGTTTTGGTTCCCTAGTGTGATTTGGTGCGTGAGATCTGGCAGTACCAGTACCTGAGCTGGCCAGACCATGGAGTCCCCAGTGAGCCTGGAGGGGTGCTCAGCTTCCTGGACCAGATCAATCAGAAACAGGAGAGCATCCCAGATGCTGGACCCATCTTGGTGCACTGCAGGTGGGTATGGGAACTGCCTGCGCAGCATAAAGCAACCAAAAACCATCCTCCCTGCAGCAGAAAGATAAACACTGTGTGTCTATAATACTGCCAGTTTCTGATCTCTGCTTGTGCCTTCCTGTGCAGTGCTGGAATTGGCCGCACCGGAACCATCATTGTCATCGATATGATAGTGGACACGATCGCCACCAAGGGTAAAGGACTCCCCACATGTCTGTGAGAATGCATTTGCTTGTCTGGCAGGGCACTGTCCCAACCCTAGTTTTTTTTCCACCATTCTTAAATAGCCATTTCCCTAATTAAAAAATACCAGATCTGCTGAGAAGGAAAAAGTCATCTACATAAATATCCCAAGGGCTTAAAAGACAGGGAGGGAAGTGGATGGGTGGCCACATCCCTATGTCAAAGATCCTGTTACCCACAGGAATGCAACTATTGAGCAAAAGATGGAGAAGGCTGCTTCTCCCAGGCCTCCTGGTGGTAGTCTGGCAGTACCAGCTGATTGGCTGTAGCAGTAGTTGGATCACTGGTGCTCCCATTGGTGGATATAACTAACCAATCTGTGCAGCTCTGACATTACTCAGTGATTGGCACCAGGAGGCTGAGGGGCAAAAGAGAATATGGGGATACAGGTACCAGAACAGGGATGGGCAATTATTTTGGCTGGTGGGCCATTTAATGAGTTTTGGTGATCTGTTGAGGGCTGCACACACAAAATCTTTTAGAAGATATAAAAAACAAATCACATAGTAAAAAATCAAACATCTGCTATAATACAAAGTCTTACTCTAGTGTATTTTGTTTGAGGGGGATGTGTGGGTATGTGGAGGGCTGCCCACAAGCTAGATGCTGGAGGTGGGGGCACGGGCAGTGCAGTGCAGGTGCAGTCCACATCCTCCTCATCCAGCCCACAGCTGCCCCTGCAAGGGTCCAAGCCCTGCCTGCTCACACCCAGGGCAGACCACACCCACCGGACAGTCCAGGCTTCAGCCTTAGCCAGCACACACAGCTTCCCAGCATGGCTGCTCCTGGTGTGGATACAGCTGCCTGGGTGCTGCTTGGCTCTCTTCTGCCTCCAGCAGCCCCTCCACCTCCTGCTTCTGCTGTGCCACTCTGGGCTGGGGGGAAGCTGCAGCTGGTTGGCTCCTGCCTCAAATGTGCAGGGCTCCAGGTCTAGCTCCAGCTCCTGGCCACCCTCCACCCACTCTGCCCACCCACCGGTGGCAGCTTATTGCACTGGGTGGGAAAAGTGAGTGTAAGGTGGCCAGGAGCTGGAGCCCTGTGCACTGGGGCAGGAGCTGCCTGGCTGCAGCTTCCCCCCTGCCTAGAGTAGTGCAGCAGGAACAGGAGAAGGAGGAGCCACTGGAGTCTGGGGGAGCGGAGTAGCATCCAAACAGCTGCAGCCACATTGGGAGCAGTTGCACCAGGAAGTTGTACACGCTGGCTGGGGCTGGAGCATGGCGCAGCTGCCCCAGGCGGGAGTGGGTGGGGCTCAACCCTATGTGGAGCACTGCAGGCCAGATCCAATCAATGCAGACCTGCAATGCAGGTGGGCACCAGCCTGCATTGCAGATTCAATTGGTTGGCAGGCCAGATCCAGACCACAGGCCATATTTTGCCCACCCCTGTTCCTGAACCTGCTGGGATTTGGCTATGTAGAGATTTTATTTGGAAACCTCAGTCGGGAGACTGACACTTGGTGTAAGACTGAGGTCAGGAGCTCCCAACTAATAATGGCCTCTCTACCTACAGGGCTGGATTGTGACATAGATATCCAGAAGACCATTCAGATGGTGAGGGCCCAGCGGTCAGGAATGGTGCAGACTGAGGCCCAGTACAAATTCATCTACGTGGCCATCTGTCAGTACATAGAGACCACCAAGAAGAAGCTGGAAGTCATGCAGGTAAGAGGGGATCCATTGCCACATGCAGTCCTAAGGGTTGCTGTGCTCCTGAATAGGCTATTCATCACAGCTGAATCATATTCTGTTTCTCCACACCTGAGCTTGGCACTAAGGACATGGAGCAGCTGCCATTTACTCACTGACAATGCCTTGTTTTCCCATGATGCAGCCCAGTGTAAGGAACACTGTGCTCCCTCACATCCTACAGACCTCTCTTCTCTTGTTTTTGTCCCTGGCAGTCTCAGAAGGGAAAAGCCACTGAGTCTGAGTATGGCAATATCATGTACCCACCTGCTCTGAAGAACCCCCATGGCAAAGTCTCACGGAAATCTTCCAAGTAAGAGTGGGAGGCCTCTTCACACCTCCCTTCCCACCCTTCCCCATCTCTGTCCCCTCATTGTCTTTGCTGTCCTTCCTCCCTTCCCTCCTGTTTGGTCTCTCTCCGGTTTCTCTCCACCTACATGCCAGGTTCTTTAGCTCTGCCCAGCCCTTTCCCTGTCTTACAGGCAAAAGGAAGAGCCAACACTCTATGAAAACTTGGAAAATGCCAAAGCAAAGAAAGAGGAGAAAGTACGAAAGCAACGATCATCGGGGAAGGAGAAGCTCAAGGGATCACTCAAGAAAAAATAGCCTTCTGCAACAGATGGGACAGTCCCCCAAGTCCTGTGAGATCTGGACTAGGATCATTCCAGGGAGGCGGGAGAGGGCGCTATAACCCATGTGCCCCAATAAGATATTCCTGCAGGGATCTGACACACTGTGTCATGCCCCAGCTAGTCCTTCTGACGTGTTGCTTTTTCTCTCGTTCTAGCTCCTCTCTGTTCTGGCAGATGCTGCCTCCAGGGCAAGTTAGCTGCAATCCCTATGCTGTTTCTGAACACACATTCCAGCAGAGGCAGCCAATCTACTCTGCGTCCCAACCTATCCCTTTAATACTTTTACCAGCCAGATCAGTAATGGCATCTCTCATTTTCTCTGGCTACCAAGGTTCAGGGTCACATCCACTCTCCTGGAACAAGCTTTGTTTGTCCTTTACAGGCTCCTCTTACACAAGAGGTGTCCCTACAGGACTTTCCCTCCATTTAGTCTGCCCAAGCTAAATCTATCACACTTGATCTCTGTTCCTTTAGTCTTCTGACTTATCAGAGTCTCATCTACAGTTTTTAACCCTTGCCTGGTAGTTTAGGACCATTTCAATTCTTCTTTGAGCAAAGAAAGCTAGCTACTTGTATTAGTCTGCAGACAGGCAGAAGGCAGGGTAGGCACCTTAAAGACCAACAAGATTAGAGATGCAGTAGCTTTTGTAAGCCACAGCTCACTTCATCAGATGCTAAGCTAACGCATCCCTAAAGTCCCCCTCCCCTGCCTTCCGCCAGTTCTCTTTTGGTATCTCCAGGCCTGGCTCCTGCATCTTGTGCCCTTGCACATTCACTCTTCTGTATGCTGTAAATACTTACAGATGGGGTGTGGTGTTGGTATGTGTTCTTTCCTTTGTAAATAAACCAGGTTTTGTTGGAGTTTGGCGGTTTTCTTTTTGCTTTTCCTTTTGAGAGCTGTCACTAAGAATTGTTGTTTTTTTTAAATATAATTTTAAGAAACAGGCCTGGGAGGGGCCTCCCAGGCCATTGAGCCCCATCCTTGTGTTCACAGGCAGTCATTTCCTCAAGGAATCCCTACAGTTGCCACTTCAACCCCTCACACACAACTGCAAGGCACAATCCCTGAAGCACCAACAGCACTCAGCGACAGGCCACGGGTAAAGGGAGGGGAGATGAGGGCATTGCCAAGGCCTTGTGACTGCAATGCCAGGGAAATAGTTGTTTAATATATGCTCAAAGGATCCTGGGAAAAGATTATGCTCTACACTTGGGGAAGGCAAAAAAAAAAAAATTTAAAAATCCCCCCAGTCCATTCCACTCTGTTCTAGGGGTAAAAAAAAAATCCTTCCTAACCCCAGATGTCACCACTGGTCTAACCCTGAACAGATGAGCAAGACCATCTAGTCAGGAGCTGCTAACATTCTAAGTACCTGGAGGAGCATTTCTATACTGCAGCTCCAGCTGGGGCCAGCATGCCAGGGCTTCAGGAGCCACGTGACATCTCACCCTATAAGCTGTAGTAGTCACCTGGGGGGGAGGAGGGATCTTGCCTGGCCCCAAGAGGCAACCAGCAACAGCTGTGAAGCCGGGGAGTACTAAATACCTACCACAGTGCAAGGTGATGGCTTAAGAATGGTATTTAAAGGTTTGTTTTTTGGGAATTGGCTTATAGGTATATATGTATTAGAATGGTTCAGGATGGGCAGCAGAAGTTGATTGCCTGGGTCAGACAGTCACAGTTTCACACAGCCTTGTGTTAGACAGTCTGTCTGCTTCCAAGGCCAACAAGGACACATAGTCTGGAAAACGGGAGCATGTCCCACGCTGTTCCATAACACTAGATAAAGTGGCACCAGCTAACAAGGCCCCAGAGCAGAAGGCTGCATCCTGGCCAGTAGTCTGGCTCTGATGACAGCCCCAGGATTTGGTAGATGCATCGAATTGTTTGTATTGCTTCTTTTCTGTTATCACTGTGCATCCATAAATTTGCCTAGTATCAAATGGAAAGGTTGTGGTCAGTCTGAGGGTAGGTTCCCCCCCTCTGGGGCAAGGCCTGTGGGTCCTAAATCCAGACCCAACATAAGGTACCCCTGTGGCCCAACATGGGGATTGCAAATGCAGTCAAACTTTGATAATGTCACACACATGGGACCAGCAGATGCCTGGAATATTAAGCAAAGAAGACAATAACTGGAGCTACTCATGAGGTGGCAGCACATGATGGTGATGCCATGTGATAGGAGAGTGCTTCTATGCTGAACATTGTTTTGCTCCCCAAAGGCATTTACTTGTGTGCCGATCACTGCAAGGAGGGTGGCAGCACAGCTCTCACCTCCAAGAGCTATATTTTATACCTTGCTCCTTGTGCATTTTTTGTGAATTGATGCCACATCTGACAATGATGTTTGCATAAAAATGAAGTTAGAAACCAACAGAAATGGTGCTATATTCAACATGACTTACGAGGTAGCCAAAGGAAGAGAGCTTATAGCAGCACTGCCCCATAGCACTCAGAGGGCTCAAATAGCATGCACTTCCCATGGTAGCGCACCAGAGCAGTGAGGGCGGCACACGGCCTAGGCACACTGTGCATGTGGCACTAAACTCCAGCCAAGCTGCACTTGGACTCATGATACCCTGCCTTCTTCTGAAGCATTGGACACTGGTGACAGGTAATGCTAGGAACTTTTGTGGGGGTGCACTGGTGGCACCTAGAAATCACTCAGGTTGGCTGAGGAGTCTTGCTCTCCCATTCAGGATCACATTGATTTGGCCTTGGCTGCTAGAGAGCACCCGTCAACCTATACGTTTACAAACAAACAGTACTCTGATTTACTTTTGTAATTGCAGGTATTGGAGTCAGCCTGACTGATCTATAACACCTCAGGGCTTCCTTTTCCTTCTGTTATAAAAAGTAGGTCCTACATCTACCCTTCTCCAGGCCTCTGGGACTTTCTTTGCCTATAATCCAATCATTTGTATCCAATTAATACTGGCTCTGAGATGTCTTGAGCATCCTGTCATTTGTCAAATGTGAATGAGTTTCTTGAGGCCTCCTTTACCTATCATGAGCTACAGCCCTTTCTCCTCCTCCATTTACATTGCAATTCTTTTAGGTTAGCCTTTTGTTCAGATTGAGCAAAATAGGCTTGAGCACCTATGCTGTTTCTTTGAGGCTTTTGTTCATGTTTCACTTCCTTTATTGAATTGCTGACCAAGAATATCCTTAATCTTTTTCCCCATTTGACATTAAAAGAACTTCTTCTCTTTGCTCTTGGTTCCTTGGTTTTTGCCTTTGCCTTCATGACTTTTATCCCTATACTTATATATAATGCCTTTGCATGTCTTCAGTAACTGGCCCTTTCTTGCATTGCCCATAAATAGCTCTCCAGATTGTAAATAAGTTCCTTGTGTAGCACACTGGTTGCTTGCAGTTCCTCTGATCTTTCCATGTTGTAACAGTTTGATGTAATGCTTCCAATGTGTCCTTAAGAAACAGCTCTTAGACTTTTTCTTTTAATCCATCTATTCCTGGCTTGTTTCTACTAAACTCCACCCTTTTGAAGTTCAGTGTCCTTGCTTTGCTGTTCCTATGCCTTTGTATCCTTAGCATCATGAATTACCCTATTATGATCAGTGCCTCCCAAGGCCTCACCAACTATTGGTCCTATTGTGATGATTGTTGCCTCACCAACCCAGTGCAACCAGGTCATCCCCGAGTTACAGTCAAATCCACAGATAAAGCTCCATCACTTCCGCAACTCTGAAACAGAGAGCTCTCTGCCACATGCTAAGAGTTTGCTGCTGCAGTAACAGGCAGAGCAGAGCTGCAGGGCCAAGCAGCACCTCCTCATCTAGAACTGGTAGTCCAAGAGGGGAAAGGCTAAGGCAGTCTGAGTTGCCCCACCCACAGGATGGATGATAGGTTGCAGGGTAGACCTTGCTTAAGCCCCTCGAACCATCAACTCCCACTAGCTTCCCCAGTCTGTGTCCTGTGGTATGGCAGCACTGGCATCCTAGAAAACAGCAAGTTTTAGCATTGTTAGCAAAGCCATGCAAAGTGAGGATGGAAGGTTCTGCCTGGTAGGGCCTGAAAAGGAAGCCAGCCTTCATTGGTTTCTGCTCCCCATCACTGCTAGGGCCACTACCTCTCCCTCTAGCATTTGCTAGTGGCTTTATTGGGAGTGGGGTCATACTACAGCCCAGGACAAAGCAAGTTCTGCTTCAAAAGATGGTGCCTGAACCAATGTTGGATGGTAAAATCCCAGCCCCCTAAATATTGTCTGGTGAAGACACTGTCCATACCACTCATCATAGCGGTAACCTTTCACCTTCAGCTGAAATACTGGTGTGTGGGACTGGCTCAACCAAGCCTTTCACCCAGGAACTTGCATAAAAGATGGGGTGTCCTATCACCAGCCAGGAGGGCTCTAGTTTACAACTGTACTGTTTAAAGTTAAAAAAAAAAAAAAAAAAAAAAAAA